CTAAACTAAACACCTAAAGATAACCTTGAATGTGCAATAATAATATTAATGAATTGAATCAAATGATGGATTGATTTTTAGAGTAGGTAAAAATGAACAAAGTTCAATATAAAATCTTGATTGAATATAAATATTGAAATAATAATGATATTTTCATTCATTCATTTATTTGTTGTCGACTACTGAACTTAATTGATTGATAATGAAAATGTTGCAATGAAAAGGTAAATATTGAGATTATGATGATGAAATAAACGACGGACATTGATAAATTGTGAATGTGATGTAACAACAATAATGATAATAATGAATTGATCAAATGCAAATCTCTCTGTGTTTACAATTGATTAATCATTTTTGCTTTGTTTCATCAACACAAATAATAATTCAATTGCATCGTTTGTTTTTGTTTTCAATTTCAAATCGAAAACAAAAACTGCTACTGGGATTTACAGAAAAAAATGTGAGGGTCATTGATTCGCGATGCAAAAAATCTTGACCATATCCGTTCATGGTTTCGATGGACATCACCAACATAAAGATATGGAAAGAGAGGGTACATTACATGAGAAAAGCACACACTTTTATCTTTAAAATATCAAATTCAAATAATATCAATGTATCTTGTGTCTGTGTGTGGGGAATAAGGAAAAACATACCTTTTTTACTTTATTTTATTATTCACTGGCGTGGCAAGGTTTTTCATTTATTTATTTATTTCAATATTATCATAAACATCATAAACACACACACACAACATTCAAACAGACAGAAAAAACATCGATGATAACAACAAAAACGGGGAACAATTTGGAATTTTTTCTGTTGCTCGGGTTGGATAAGAAATTTCAAGTAAGATTTTTCTTTTTATTTCACCGATTGATTTTTGTCGCCTTCAAATACAAACTAACAAACATAAATCCGGTCGCGTAGATATAGCCGATGATGGCGTCGGTGAGGGTAGAAAGATAGATTTTCAAGAAAATTGATTGATAACAACAACAAAATTGCAATCACACAACATCACCATCATTTTTGGATATGGTGGAAATAAACAAAACTGATCAACAGAAGATATACAGGACAGACACACCGAAAACAGATTTGGACACACTTTTCTGATCCCACCTTATCCACTATTTTTAAACTAACATGAAAAAACGATGGACAATCGGGTAATCGATTGATTGAAGATGAACTCTCGAACCAAAAAAAGAATTTCTTCAAAAAACAACAAGATGAATTATGGAAAATTTTCCAATTGTCAATGTAGATCACACAATTAATAATAAAGAGTGTGAAACAAAATAGATAAAAATCACACACACTTTTTTCACACGGAAACAAATTTTATCCAAAATGTAAAATATGACGAATTCTTTTTTTTACAACGAATTGTTGTTGTTGTTAAACCAAATGCAAACATGAAGGGAAAAAAACAGACAATGTTAATAAATAAGCCAACGCAGCCATGCAGCACTTATGATAGCCAAAACGTGAATGAAAATGATTTTGATTCAGATCTTTGTTTGTGCAATGAAAAACGTTAAGCAAAAGAAACAGAAGGATCATACTTCTTATTACTACTAGAAGACTAGCAGCGAGATAGTAGCATTGATTGAAATGCGCTTGAATACCATTTTTTTTCAAGAAAAAAAACTAGAAGCAAAGAAAAAGTAAAAAATTTCAGTCAACAAAAACATACACACACCCGCAATGTAGTTGTTCATAAAATAGATGATAAAAAAACAGACGATTAGAAATTTTCAAGCGGTAGTAGCAAACAATGATGAGAGAAAGTGTACCCTACCCTGTGTTGTATGCTCTATCTAAAAACATCGTATCGAAAATAACATGCATAACATGAAAATAGCGCGCGGCTGCAAAGCTAACATTAACCGAAAATTCAATTTTAAGGTGATTTAGTCAATCCAAATAATTTCCTATTTCCAAAATTTCCCTAAGAATTGATAAATATGAAAATAAATTCAAAAATAAAAGTTTCGAGATTTAAAACAAAGCAAAAAACTTTGCGTAAAAAATATCGACTGTATCGATTGTCAATGAAAATCAATGTTAAACTGAATGTTGCGCCTGAAGGCAGAATCAAAAAATGACGAAGAAACGTAAATACAGCAACGACCCTATATTTTAAGAAAAAAAGTAAGGGAGAAAAAAGATAGAAAGAATCAAAAAATCAAAAAAAAAGAAAAAGAAAAAGTTGCTGTTGTTATTAATTATAAATTTTACATTGAAGGCAAACGAAGTTGAAAGTTCACTACCAAAAAAAAGAAACCCAACTAATAATATACGATGATGATGGTGAACATAGGTGTGGCTCATACCCATAGAAAATAATAAGAAACAGAATAATGAGATGAATGAGGGGAGTTCTATTTCTTGAATGTCAAAGGTCAGCATCAGCATCATTCATTCATTCAGTCACTATTATTATTATAAGGCGAATCGAATGTGAATCGAACGCGTACTACTTGAATTTTTTTTGATCAATTGGTTTTTTGGCCCACCATTCATTGTGTAGTTATGATAATGGTGAAGATTGTTGGTGAAAATGATCGAATAGAAAAACTAAAAATCATCATCACGAATCTTGAATCTACTAAGTGTAGCAAAGAGAAAAAAGGTCAAAGGTAAATGGTGTGTGTGTGGATGTGCATCATCATCATCGATCGAAGCCAGGCCAGAAAATCAAAGGAAAACCTATTGACCATATTTGATTGGTGATGTTTTTTGTAGATATTCTTGATTTTCTCATTATATCTTGATATTTGATGATGATGGTTGGTTGTGCAGAAGGTAAAAAGATATAAGCGTGTAGAAAACTTATTGATCTACGAGAAATGAAAACGAGATTTTTCCATGTAGTTAGTCAGTCAGTTAGTTTAAGTGTGAAGTTTGAGTAAGAGAACAAAAATCCATCATTTTATTAACGAAATGAATATCAAATGGAAAAATCAAACTAACCAAGTATAAAAATGGACAACAAAATTCAGAAGTCCAGGCTATCTGATTGAATGATAATCATCATTTGGATTTTTTTTTCGTCCACCGAAAAAAACGAATCAAGATCATCATCATCGACGTCGAAAACATGACTTTTTTCATCATAAAAATGATGATGAGAAAAAAGGTAATAATTTGATAAAAATTGAAACCTGCTAGAAAAAATGATTAACACCATTGATGATGATCATCAAGGATCCTTATAACACATAAATAATGTTCTGATGATGAAAATATGGAAAACAGAAAAAATCAATTTTGATGATGACAATCTCGGATGATGATGATAACACCAGTAGCCATAAGTTGTTAAGGCAAAAAATTAAGATTAACATTTTTTGATTAAATGTATCTGACACAAAAACTGTTGCATCGAATTCAATAATGATAAATATTATACCTTGATCTCACTGTTTCTCCATTATATCGATCGATCATTTTTCTGTGAATTGAAGAAATCATATGAAATACTTTTCATTTTTTCCAATTTTGTGGAATTTCTTTTCAACTTTGACAAATTTTTTCTTCACAATCCATTCATCATTAATTGATCTAGAAACAAATTATTGATCGATAGACATTCAAGGTGTTGACCATTTTTGGGAAATTTCAAAAATTTTTGAAGCAACAAAAATTGACAAATTATCCCCGAAAGCAAACAAATCAATGTACATGTGAAACTAATTTGCTACTGGAAATGAATTTTATCAAACAATTTTTTCACTCGAAACAATCAACAAAATGAGAAGAATGTGGATGTGATTGGAAATATCAATCAAACATACTGATAATAAGAATTTTCAGGTAAAAATATCATCAGCCCAAAAGGTCATTGTCAAAAAATGACATTGAAAAAAGAATGGATGTTTTTCGTTTTTTTATTCTTGTCATTATCATTTGCATGCGATGATCATCATCAACATTGATGATATCATTGATTGGATTGACGAAATACTGATAGAGCACACACGATATCGATTGGAAAAAATCGAATTTTGTTTTTTTGTTGAACGATGAAAACTTGTTAAAATTTTTGTTGATGAAAATTTTCTTATTGCGTGATGATAATAATGATGATAATAATGATGATGATGGTGGTGGTGATGGCTAGAAAACGATTCCTGAAGAAGCGCCAATCCAAATTCAACTTTGACCTTCGAAGAAAATATTTTCATCATGTTTGTGTCAATTATTTTTGTAGGGTCAACAACAACAATAACAACAATTGAAGATGATGATGATGTAAAGAACCAAATGATATCCCACGCAAAATGATAACCCACCACCACCAATCAATACATTTCATCACACCAATCGAATCGAATGATGGAATTTTGATGATTGAATGGAATCAACAACAGCAAAAAACCATGATTGTTGTTGAATTTCCCGAATTTTTCAAAGAAAAATTCAATTAAAGAGAACTTTTGATTGGTTCTTTTTGGTTGTATAACAATGTTATTGTTAAATTAAATCTGGATTTCCTAACTGATAAAACATATCAAAAGTCTCCATTTCAAAAAAGAGAACGAAAATCACCATTTTACAAAAGAAATCGCAAATCTCCATTCGATAAAGCAAAGCCAAAATGGCCATTTGACAAAACAACAACATCATCATCAACATTTACATCATCATTGTCACGTTTTCGCGCAAGAAAGATTGCAAGCTTATTTCAATAATAACATTAATAATAATCATTCACCAAAAACCAAATGAATTTAATAGAATTTTTCTTGAAAATAAGAATTCCATTCAAATTGGAAAGATTGAATTAAAAATTGAATAAATTAAATTATTGGTATAACAATGTTTATTGTTTTTATGGTTTGATAATTGGATCATTTTCGTCTATTTAAATTAGTGTAGCATGTATGTTTTCCATTTGATTTGCTCAAAAATGTTGTCAAAAGAATCGATTTCAAAATCGTGTAATAATCATTATGTGATATTGTTACAATGTTTATTGATCAATTGGCTGTATGCAGAACATCTGGAACGATTTCAACATCAACAAATAGAACATTATAAGCCAATATTATTCATTGAAAAAGATTACAAAGTTTTTATCGGTGCTAAAAATCATATTTTAGCTTTAAATCTAATGGATTTTCAATCATCATTCCAACAACATTATTCGATTCCAGCTGAAATTAAACAAATAAACAATTGTCATCAAAAAACAACAAATAGAGAAGAATGTCATAACTTTATAACAACATTATTCCCCATCAATGGCGGTAAACAAATTCTATATTGTGGCACCAATGCCTATTCACCACAATGTCAAATCACACTTATCAATGATAATTTCCAAGTAGTCAATAAAAGTGTATCGACACTTTCACCACATTCACCATATTGGAATACAACAACATTGTTAATTGAAAATGGTCAATTTTACTATGCTGGTCCAATAGATTCTCATGGTACCAATGTAACAATCATTCAACAAATAGACATTTTTAACAATACAACACATTTCGTGCAAACTTTACAAAATAATCATTATTGGATCAATAAGGATGCTAATTTTGTTGCAAGTTTTCAATACGAACAGCATGTATATTTCCTTTTCCGTGAATCGGATATGGAACATTCTAATATGGGTGGTCACCGTGTTATGTCACGAATTGGTCGTGTTTGTAAAAAGGATTCGGGTCTGCAAAATCATTGGACAACATTCTTGAAAGCAAGGCTGAATTGTTCATTGCCTGGCTCAATACCATTCTATTTGAATGAAATACAATCAGTCCATTACATTCATAATGATAAATCATACCGATTTTATGCTGTTTTCAATACTCCTCAAAATTCATTACATGGTTCGGCTGTTTGTGTATTTACAATGAAATCGGTTCTGAGATCTTTTGAAGGTGCATTCAGGTATCAACCATCACCATCACAGTTATGGCAACGACAAGATGATGATCATACTGTGTTCAATTGTCAGGCCAGTCATAATGATCACTCCCAATCACATTTGAGTTTAAAATATCAACTAATGGATGATGCAGTTCAGCCAATCAATGACAAACCATTAATATTCACCAAAGACGAACATTTCAAGTTGATTGCTGTTGATTGGATTGAAACAAAATTCGATAATTTTGTTCAAATAATATTCATTGCAACAAATGATGGGAAATTATTGAAATATGTTCATTGGTCGAATTTGGATGAATCATGTTTGATTGATGCTATTCAATTGATTAACCCGAAAGAAAATCAATTTTTATCAATGAAATTCTATCGAGCAACTGATTCATTATATTTTGGTACGGAGAAAGAATTTATTCGTCTTTCTGTTGATCAATGTGATAAATATCCAAACGAAGAGGAATGTATTAATAGCGGTGATCCATACTGCGGATGGAATCGTTATCAAATGAAGTGTATTCGATCTTCACTCGGAATTTTAAGAGATGAAAATTTCATACAAAATAAAAATCCGCAATCATGTCAACAATTATGGAGTGATTGGTTTTCATGCAGTGTAACTGATCCGAAAACGTTTGCCCAAGGAATTTGTCAATGTCGTCAGCGACCATGTGCATCTACAACGAATAATAATTGTTTCAAAGGATTCGAATATCAAGTAACCGATTGTGTTGTTTATCATACCTGGAAATTTTTATTTGTTTCGGTTATTGTTGCTGTTCTGTTGAGCTCTTCCATAACAGCGTTAATGTATTTTTATTTTTTTCCAAAAATCAAAAAACGAGCCAAAAAATCGAAACCAACCCCGAAATTGGAAATCTATAAAAAATCTCCTACATTATCGTTATCACCAGCATATAGTATGGCCACATCAACAGTAACATCATCATTGTCATGTTCAACCAGAAATCTTGATAGTATAATTCGAGAAATAGGCCCAAAAAAATTGACCATCTAAAATATTAACTAAAATTTGCCTTAATAGAAATAATCTCTCCCAAATTAATAAATAAAATCATAATTTTCATCATTTTTTTTTCTAAAATTCAATCAAAATTAATTGGGTATTGTTTTTTTTTCTAAAATTCAATCCTAGCTTATAACAATGTTGACTAATTGATTGGTTATAGTTATTTAAAATGTGTAGGTACGTGGTTCATTGCCTTGTTGTTATTCAATACAAGGATCAATGTGGGCAAAAAAATTGATTTTAAATTACTTCAGTAATCATATTATATTTTTATTGATCAATTCTTTATATGCCAAACATTCAGATCTGGAAAGATTTACACGTTCGGATATAGAACATTATAAACCAATATTATTCATTGAAAAAGATTCGAAAGTTTTTATTGGTGTTAAAAATCATATTTTAGTTTTAAATATAATAAATTTCACATCAAAACCGCTACAAGATTATTCGATTCCAGCTGAAGAGAAAAAAATGAAAAATTGTCACCAAAAAGGAATGAACCAAGAAGAATGTCATAACTTTATAACAACATTATTCCCCATCAATGGCGGTAAACAAATTCTATATTGTGGCACCAATGCCTATTCACCACAATGTCAAATCAGACTTATCAATGATAATTTCCAAGTAGTCAATAAGAGTGTATCGGTCAATTCATTTTCCCCATATTGGAATACAACATCATTGTTAACTGAAAATGGAGTATTTTACTATGGTGGTCCGCTTGATCTTCGTGGTGTTGATGAATCCATTATTAAACAAACAGAAATTATTTCAAAAGTAAAATCCCATGTACGAACTTTACAGAATAATCCCTATTGGATTAATGTTGATGCAAATTTTGTTACAAGTTTTCAATACGGACCACATGTTTATTTCCTTTTCCGTGAAACTGATCTAGAATATTCAAATGATGGTGGTTATCATGTTGTATCACGAATTGGTCGTGTTTGTACAAATGATACTGGCTGGAAAAATAGGTGGACGACATTCTTGAAAGCAAGGCTGAATTGTTCATTGCCTGGCTCATTACCATTCTATTTCAATGAAATACAATCAGTCCATTACATTCATAATGACAAAACATTCCGGTTATATGCTATTTTCAATGCTGCACCAAATTCAATATATAGTTCGGCTGTTTGTGTATTTACAATGAAATCGGTTCTGAGATCTTTTGAAGGTGCATTTAGATATCAACCATCATCATCACAGTTATGGCAACGACAAGATGATGATCATTCTGTATTTAATTGTCAGGCCAATAATACTGACCAATCCCAATCACAATTGAATTTAAAATATCAACTAATGGATGATGCAGTTCAACCTATCAATAACAAACCATTTATTTCTACAAAACAGGAACATTTCAAACTGATTGTTGTCGATTGGATTGAAACAAAATTCGATAATTTTGTTCAAGTAATATTCATTGCAACAAACGATGGAAAGTTATTGAAATATGTTCAATGGTCAAATTTGAATGAATTATGTTTGGTTGATGATATTCAATTGATTGATCCGAAAGAAAATCAATTTTTATCCATGAAATTCTACCCAAAAACTGATTCACTATATTTCGGTACGGTAAAAGAATTTATCCGGCTTTCGATTGATCAATGTGAAAAATATCAGCAAAAAGAGGAATGCATTCATAGTGGTGATCCATATTGCGGATGGAATCAAATCCACGAGAAATGTATTCGATCTACGAATGATAATTTACAAGATGAAAATTTCATACAATCTGATCGACCATCATGTCACCAATCATGGAGTGAATGGTTTGCCTGTACTGATCCGAAATCATCTGCCAAAGGATTATGTCGTTGTCGCAAACGACCATGTTTGAATATGAATAATAATTGTATTAATGGAAGCGAATATGAAGTAAGGAATTGTATTGCCAATCACAACTGGACAATGCTATTTTTTGCCACTATTTTTGCCGTCATATTAAGCTCAAGTGTAACAGCTTGCATATTGATTTTGAATTTTCATAGAAAACAGAAAAAATTGCAAAAATCCGATCAAACATTATCGAAAACCAATCAAAACTCTTGTTCATCATCATCATCATCATTAAATTTTTCTCCAGCTAAAAAACAACAACAACCAATTAAATTCAAACCAACAACCACTGTATTGAAAGCCAATCAAAAATCTCGTTTATCATCATCATCCACATCATCATTATATTTTTATCGCAACAAAAAACAACAACCAAAAAAAATTCAAACAAACAACAACTGTATTGAAAACGAAACAAAAATTTCCTACCAGAACAACAATAAATATTAGTAAAACATCAACAATAACAAAAACACGTGCAACAAGAATCGATTAAATCAAAGATAAAATACACAACATTAATGAGAGGTCAATCATAGATTAGTAATGAAATATTTGTTTCGATTGAATAAATTTTTTTAAAATCCGATTACAAAACAATAATTTTTGTTTGTTCAGAAAATTCAATTAAAACGAATTTTTTTAAACAATGTTGTTGATTTTATGTTAAATGTTGATGTTGAAAATGTTTAGTTAAATGTTTAGATTGGTGTGCATGTGTTCATCGATCAAATCAATATGAAAAAGAAATGTATTGATTACCTAGTAATATTACAATTTTTATTGATCCATTCTATGTATGCAAAACATTTGGAACGAATAAAAGAATCGGAAATAGAACATTATAAACCAATGTTATTCAATGAAAAGGATTCGAAAATTATTGTTGGCGCTAGAAATCATATCCTGATTATGAATCAAACGGATTTTGAATCATCCATGTTGGAAGATTATGTTAGTAGACTTGACATCGAAAAGATGAAAAATTGTTATCAAAAAGGAGTTGATCAGGAATATTGTAATAATTTTATAACAACATTATTGCAAATACCACCAATCATCAATTATACTAAGCAAGGACAGATTTTAGTTTGTGGAACATACTCCTATTCGCCCGAATGTCAAATACGACAATTGAATGATAATTTCGATATAGTTGCTAAAAGTACATTCATCCATTCACCACACTCACCATATTGGAATACAACATCATTGCTAACTAAAAAGGGCGAATTTTTCTTCGGCGGTCCACTTGATTATCGTGGTGTTGATGTAACCATTATTAAACAAATAAATATTCTACCAACCCAAGAGCCAGAATATGTACGAGGTATACAAAATAATCATTATTGGATCAATAAGGATGCTAGTTTTTTTGCAAGTTTTCAATACGATCGTCATGTATATTTTCTTTTTCGTGAATCGGATATAGAATTTGCAAATGTTGATGGTCATCATGTTGTATCACGAATTGGTCGTGTTTGCACCAATGATACTGGTGTGGAAAATTTTTGGACAACATTCTTGAAAGCAAGACTGAATTGTTCATTGCCTGGCTCATTACCATTCTATTTGAATGAAATACAATCAGTCCATTACATTCATAATGATAAAACATACCGATTTTATGCTATTTTCAATACCCCACCAAATTCAATACATGGTTCGGCTGTCTGTGTATTTACAATGAAATCGGTTCTGAAATCTTTTGAAGGTGCATTCAGATATCAACCATCACCATCACAGTTATGGCAACGACAAGATGATGATCATTCTGCGTTTAATTGTCAACCGATTGATCATGGAACGGTTATCTTGAATTCAAAATATCAACTAATGGATGATGCAGTTCAGCCTATCCATAACAAACCATTAATATTCACTAAACACGAACATTTCAGATTGATTGTCACCGATTGGGTTGTAACAAAATTCGATAATTTTGTTCAAGTAATATTCATTGCAACAAACGATGGAAAGTTATTGAAATATGTTCAATGGTCAAATTTGAATGAATTATGTTTGGTTGATGATATTCAATTGATTGATCCGAAAGAAAATCAATTTTTATCGATGAAATTCTATCAAAAAACTGATTCACTATATTTTGGTACGGAAAAAGAATTCATCCGGCTTTCGATTGATCAATGTGAAAAATATCAACAAAAAGAGGAATGCATTCATAGTGGTGATCCATATTGCGGATGGAATCAAATCCACGAGAAATGTATTCGATCTACGAATGATAATTTACAAGATGAAAATTTCATACAATCTGATCGACCATCATGTCACCAATCATGGAGTGAATGGTTTATTTGCAGTGTTACTGATTCGAAATCAATAGCTAAACATGAAATTTGTCATTGTCGTCGACGACCATGCCAGGCAGATTCGAATAATGATTGTTTTAAAGGATTTGAATATGAAGTAACGGATTGTATTGTTTATTATAGTTGGACAATGTTATTTATTTATGTTATCACTGCCGTCATATTATGCTCAATCTTAACAGTAAGCATATTGTTTTGTATTTCCTATAGTAAAGATAAACCTAAAAAACCGAAAACCGAACCAAAACTATCTTTCGATTCATCATTTACATCACCAACTAATAAAATATTACCAAAATCAATATTCACGCCGTTTAGACGTATACCAACAAAATTCATCAAAAGTTTGATTAGACCGTCACATTATATTTCATCAAAGAAAAAGCCATTTTTTTCTCCTCGATTGTTTCATAAGAGAAGAGATGTAGGCAAAAATTTTCAAAGCCCAGCAATCCATCAACAACAACAATATTCATCGATGATGGGGAAAGATTCGACCAATTTTCCACATTATCAACAAGTATCATCGTTTTCATCATCTTTACATTGAGTACATGTCAAAACAAATCATGTTTTTTCGATTCTTACGATTGGGCTAGAAGAACAATGTGAAACAGAAAAAAATCAATCAATCAATCAATCAATCGATCGATCAACACAAACTAGAAAAATCTTAATAAAAACTAACCATCAACCAATAAAGTTCGAGGGTTATTGTTGCTTAATTGTGTTTGTATGGTGGCCAAAAACCAAACATTGACGATGACCGAATCAAACCTGCGATATTTGCATCCAAAAAAATGTAATGTTTGCAAACAAAAAACATTTTCATTTTTTTTTGTTTCCTCTGTGTAAACAAACTAAACCACCGAATAAATAAAAATCATTGAATTCATAAGAAGAATAGTGGTCCTCTTTTTTTGTTTCTTGAAAAAAATTTCACAAAAATCGAAATTGTTTTCACCGCCAATTCGAAAACTTTGGAAATGAAAAAATTAACATTTTTAAAAATGATGCACATTGGCTATCTATTTTGCCAGTTTATAATTGTGGATAGGGATAACAAGGAGGGAATTGAATGGAGAGCAATTGGAATTTGATCATCATAATAATGATGATAATGATTGTCATCAGATTTTTTCAACTATATAAATCCTTTTGAATTTCCAAACGTGAATTCAAAACTCCTTCTAATTAACTCTTGTTGAAAAATGAATGAAAGAAAATTGTCTCAAATCATGTTGTTAAACGTTATTATGATGATTGTTTTGAATTTTGAAAAAATCATGCAATTCAAAGGTCAAAACTGTTTTTCTTCTTCTGAACTACAACAATCAAACGGATACAGAGCATTTTTCTTCAAACACTAATTTGAGCAGCAGATAATTTTCATGAACAACTTTAATAATAATAAAAGAAAAATAATTCACTTGTTCATTTATTATATGGTTCAACATTTTTTTCCATTTCTACTTTGTGAATGGTGAAGTGATTGTCCAATTTGGCCAGGTTGCATGATGACAAACAAACAATGCAAACAAGTGATGTTAGGTCATCATCAAAGTACCGTAAAGGTTTTTTTCTCAATTTGAATTTGACATGAATGTCGATAGAAAATCAATGATGATTGGGGCTATCATCATTTAATTTGAATATAATTTTTTCTCCGGTCGATGACCAAACGATGATATTATCTTTAAATAAAGTGGACAATATTGTAAATAAATTTGAAATTCACAAAAAAGGTTGGCCATTAAACTGATTGAATAAACTGGACATCAATAAGTGGGCACAAAACAACAATCATATCACCATTCAACAATAATAACTGTCTTTTCTGGTCAATAGAATATGTTATTGGTCGAAAATTGGTTCACTTTTTTCAACATGAATGCATTGTATTCATGATAATTTGGATGTTTATACGAATTTTACATAAATGAAAATTTCAATTCAATCTTTTTCAACAACAATAATAATGATAATAATTTTGGTCATTCAAAATGATTTTTCGAAATGTTGCAAAATACAATTCATTTTCTTCTGAAAAATCATTTTTTCCCAAAGAAAGAAAACTCATTAGTAAATGATGATAGTGAATTGACACCCATCCAGCTCAGCATATACCACCCACATAATTATTACCAACAAAACAAGTAAAGAATGATCAATAATTATAATCTTTTTGTTTGCTTTTCAAAATGGTAAAAATATCGGAATCTTTCTTTTTCGGTTTCACTTTTGTTTGTCCCAATGGAACTTTTTTCTTTTCGTCTCAAAATGATTGAAAATTACCTTTTTTGGTCGTTGTGTGTGTGTGTGATTCTTTCATTTTCAATCAACCGGAATGAAAAGAAAATAAAAGATTAGATTCATTTCAATGGATCAAGTTGAAACAAAAAACCCAATAGGAAAAAGCAATTAACATTGGCTTATTATTATTATTGTTATTGACTTTTTTGTTTTTTTCCGTTTGTTTCAAACAAACAAAATTCGATAGATCAATCATAATCGTATTTGATTTTTTCGTATCTGAATCTTGGAATTTTTGTTTTCATTGAAAGAAAAAATGAAAAGAATTCATCTGAGAGAGAGGATAAGCTTCTTAACATTTTGAAAGAGAAATAAAGAACAAAAATTTCCTGTTCAGGTTACTTGTGTTTGGAAATAAATAAGAAAAACTAAGCGGACAATCGGTTTTTTAGGAAAAAATGTTCTAAACATTATTTAATCACCATCCAAATAGATCATCATATTATTTGGGGTAATTGCAAGTTTTTTTCGTTCATTTCAAATAACAAAAACTTAAAAAAATTATCGATTGATTTTTCTCGAAAACAACCAAAAAATTTCAAAGTCATTCATCGATTGTTTTTAACAAAAACTGACCCACATCTGTGTGTGAGTTTGGTATGAACAAAAACAGAAATGACATGTCAAAAAACAAAGTTCAAAACACAGACGGTGAGATTATGTTTTTATTTTTGATTCGGAAATGTTGATGCTATAAACATAGCAAAGTGACATTATTAATGTTTTCTATAAAATCGACAAAATACGAGCCAAAAACATGGTGGTCGTCGGCTCTGATTTTTATTTCTACCTCGAAGGACCTATCGAAGCTAGACAAAAAAACAACAACAAAAACGGGACATTAAACGAATCGAATTCAAAGATTAGTCACTGAGTTCGAGGTAATTTGATATCACCAGGAATTAGAAATCAAGTCACTTTTTTCTCGTTTTATTGGAAATCAAATAAAATCGAATGACTAATAGGATCATTATTGATTACAACAATGACAATTATTATTCTCTCCATAAATGAAAACGATGCTAACGAGAATTTAGGGAAAAAATCGATGCCATGTGGCCCTCGTCGTCATTATTATTATTTTCTGACCGTATCCAGATATTTTTCAAACAAACAAGCAGACGACCATCAAAAAATGTCATTTGATGATGACGATTTATGTAATTGCATTTTTTCATTTCGTTCAGATTTTAATTATCATGATGATCATTTTTCCTAATAGATGTTTATTATCATTTGTTAGTTTATGTGTCTAGAGTGGCGGAGATAGACCGCAAATCAAGAATATGCTAATCATCGTTTTGTCGTTAATAAATTGAAATTTGAAATGACAATTTTTTTCTTTGCCAAATGTATCGAAAGGATCGATTTTTTCTTGCAAAACAAATGATGATGATGACATATCGATTATGATGATCGGTATTTTGATTGAAAAACAATCAACACCATTCACTACATTTGAATATTTCAAAGTCATCATCATTTTTCGTTTTAACTTTTGTTGTTAATGTTGTTGACTTGTGACTCCTGCTGTTGCTTATTTGTTGTTTGAATTTTCGCCAAGTATGTTTGCACTTTTTCTTTATATTCCTGGATTGGTTATCGACGACCACGAATCTTTCAAATGTTGTTTGATAGTCGTTAGTACCTCTACATGTGGTCGAATGAATAACCAAACAAGAAAGGTTCGAAGATTTCCATCAACCGAAAAGCAGAAGAAAAAGAAATGAATCGATCCAAAACCGACCGACCGACGACGAGAAACATAAATCTAATTGTGTATTTTCTTTACTCATTAACATTTGAAAAGTGTATCCAATAAAGTCTGATACATTTGACGTTTTGTGTCAAGTCAGGTTTTTTCTTCAATGGCCAGGTTTTCCCATTCTTCTTCTTGGAAGAAACAAAGAAAATAAAAAAAAGTTAATGAGCCGCTTCAATCATTTGAATGAATGATGAATTGGATTTTTCATTTGGGAAATGATTCGACAAATATTTTCAATATGCACCATTATAGACACACATGTTGAATATCAATCACGAGCTTTATGGACCCAAAGTTTCGACCTAGTCGATTAAAGATTCAAGGTCATATTTTCTGTAATTAATAATACTGAGTCAGTATAGGGAAATAATTATCCTGTCAATTCATTTTCGTGGTTTTGTTTTTATAGAAAAATTGAAACAAAATAACTGAAAAAAGGGAAAAAACAAAATTGTCCGAATTGGATCGATGAAACAATCAATTAAAAGTTTGGATCAAACAGACATTTGCTTTTTGGGTTCAAAAAGCCTGTAATTAAAACAAACAAAAAATCTTTTGATGTTGAATTGCCACCATCATTCTCTTATTTGTCTATTTATTATCTATGCTGGAGTGGCGAATCAAAGAAATAAATATCATTTCGTAAAAAACACACAGAGTTCATATGAAAAAATACAGGGTACCCAGAAATCAATTTGAATGTTGTTGTTGTTTCACGCGAAAAATTCCAATGAAACAAACAAAAAGCCTCCGAAAAAAAACATTTATTTTTTCAAGTGAACCCCAACAACGTTGGTTTAGATTTATTTTTACACAAAAAAAAACATGGAAAAATCAACAAAACTCTTGGCAACAATGTTAATGGAGAAGGAATTTTTTTCGACTAAACTAATCGATCAAAATGATGATCAAATGAATGTGAGTAAGCAGCAAACATCATTGACGACAAAGTGAAAAAAAACAAACAAAAACAACCAATTTGCATACGCAAATTTTCAAATGATTAAACTCTGTAGAAACGGAAAAGATTTATGAAAATTGTTTTTTTACTGAAAAAAAAACAAAATCACATCGTCATCATGATTGGGCAGGTTTTGTTTTCATCTAATATCATCAGGGATGACCATTCAAGTTAATAATTTGAATATTTCCTATGATGACAATCAATGTTTAAATGAGCCATGAATTTTCTCTTTGACCATGAATATTATCAATTTTAGAAAATCTTTGGATTAATATTTTTCATTTTCATTCAACTTGTGACATAAATGGCCCATATTTCTTACATGGTGTTTTTCCATTATTGATTTGATGACGATTACTTTTCATATTCAATTCAATTGGACAGAATTAATCAAACCAAAATATAATCAATCCATTAGCATTTACATTGCATTATTATTTAAATTTGCTTTTTCTTCAATTTTAAATTAGAATTTGATAATGATGAACCCAGAGACAAAAGAATCATTCAGCATAACAATGCAACAACCACAGTCACACATAACTTATCAAAAACAAACTTGACG